GCATCGCCAAACTACCGGAGGTTCGCCAAAATTAATAGTTACACCCACTCCTATTCATCAAGATTGGTGATATCAATGTCCACTTGGCACATCACGAATTGTTTGGCGAAGAAACAATCCATTGCCTAATTTTAATGTCGCCTGAAAGAAAAAGCAAAAGCACGCAAAACGACAAAGTGAAAGATGAGTTTGGAGCATCATCAGATTCTTCGGCAAGCCCGATCTAGATTGACAAAGTGACATCGATGAAAATTTTGTAAATATTTTACCTCGTATATAAATAAATTTTGTAACAAGAAATAGATACTTTTAAGATTTTAGAACTTTCTCCAAAGTTTTGGGAATTAAGGAGAACTTAGGGAAGAAATGCTTAATCTTGGAGGAGAATTCTCATGTTTTTTACATTTGGAGTGTAAATTACTTCCTAGACAACTGAATTTAGGCTATTATAATTGAATAACTTGGTAATATTACTTTTTCTTTAGTTATGTCAAGCTAATACCTCATTTTTAGGGGTGCGCACGATATGAATGATTAATTTGGGATTGGATATTAATTAATTATTTCTTCAATATTAATTTGAATTGGGTTAAGCTACTTTCTTAATGATTTCATCTATGATTAGAGTTTGAAAACTCTAATTACTATAGATTTCTTATGTTGCTCGCAAGAGATTATAAGAGTGAGAAGATTCAGTTGATGTTACTCAATTTTATTCATTTAATAATAGATCAAGAAATAGTTTGTTTAAATCAAACTAATAGATTAGTTTGTATTGATTAAACATTGGGTTTGAGAAAGTTCATGTGATATTTTAAATCTAGCTTACCTAATATTTTTCAACTAAATTACGCAAAATTAATCATCCAATTACTTGATTATAATCCATGCTAGCACATCCCTAGGAACCTTAAATACTTGCATAAAATACCAATTTTGTTAAGTTGCATTCAATCGATTAAAATAAGCATTAAATTTTTATAATACAATGTTCACATTTAAAACCCTCTATTTACTTTTATGCAATTTTATCAATGTGCGAATCACTAGAGATTTGAACACAATATAGAGTGAATTGTATTTGTCCATTCTTTGTGGGATCAATCTCAACTTCTAGATTGATTAAATATTGCATACGATCACCTACATATTATTTTGTGAAGAATAGTTGAGTGTTATATAAATGACACCGTTTCTGGGGAATGGTGAATAGAATTCTCGTATTAAAGTATTATAATTCACTTATCATTTGCCAATGTTTATCTTTACCTTGTTTGCTATTTGTATGCCTGATATAGGTGAAAATGGTAGCAAAACTACTAATTATGAAAAGCAATTCATCGATGACGATTATTTGGGAGAGGTGGGATGTGCTAGTGCTATTTTCCTACCCTCTACGGTAGGTAATGCCATCTTCTATGTGACAAACACCATGTTACACTGCCTCAAATGAAGGGCCTCGTCGGTGGGCAAGCTCACAAGGATGCACACAATCACCTCAAAAACTTTATTGATGTGTGTAGTCTATTCAATATTGCCGACATAACTCAAAAGTCTATTTGAATGAGGTTGTTTCCTTTTTTTCCTTATTTGGAGAAGCTACTACTTGGTTGTGAGAAATAACGAAAGGATTTGTCACTTGTTGGATCGAACTCACAAAAGCTTTTCTAGATAGGTTCATTTCACCCTCTTAGATGCTTCAACTTTGAGACGAGATCACTAACTTCCACCAAAAGTGTGGTGAAACTCTTCATAAATGATGACTTCGATTAAAAAGATTTTGCTTCAACCGTTCTCTTGACCTATTGAACAAAGTAGTTGCGGGTAATTTTGTAGATGGTTCTCTCATAATGCAAACTTTGGTAATTTCCATTGCTTTTCTTTATAGAATGACTAGAACAAATCGAGTTTGACATATTCAGGAGGCTGAGGTGGAAAAGGGTGTTACCTCCTTCTCCCTGAGTACCAAGGAAAAAAGGTTCAAAGATGAAGAATGGGATAAAAATATGACAAAAATGATGACTCAAATAAAACTCGTGACTAAGCATGTCATGGGTGTGGATTCTAAAAGTGTTAATGATGTGGTTACAAAGGGGAATTGAGTCTATGAAGATGATGATTTTGACAATATGTATAATGAAGAGGTTAAGTTTTTTGGAAAATCAACCCGGGAGTTCTCTAAAGGAAAGACGAGAATCAAGGTTGGAATAAGGATAGAAATAGTGAGTGGAGAAACAAAGAAAGAGATGGAACTTGGAGGGACCCTGATAGAGAATGGTGTATTGCAACAATGGTTAGCGGGATAGAGAAAACGAGATGAATCATTATGCGCCTCCCTATGATTGACCTAAGCCTAAAGATTCCAATGCTGACCCTAAGGGTTATCGAACAAAGATATGTTTTCCCAAATTCTTAATAAGGTTGAAGACTCAGATGAAAATCTTAAAGAAATGAAGAGTGAGTTCTCTTCTTTCAACCAAACGACCACTTCCCATTCTATTTCCATTAAACAACTTGAGTCTAAAATGAACCAAATTTTTTTCTATTTAAATTCAAGACAAAAGAGAGGTCTTCTAAGTGATAGCATGATGAATATGAAAAATAAAAATACCCATTGCATGACTATTGTTACAAGGAGTGGCAAAATTGTTGGGAGAGAGGTACAAAAAGAAGATGAGACGCTTGGGGTTGGTGACAAGCAAAAATCAAAGTTGATGAGTCTGATTCCGATGGGGTGAAAATTTATGGATCGGTATTGGTCAATGATGAAATTGATAGAAATGTGCCTTTGAATGTTGAAGGGGGTGAAAGTGGAAAGAATGATGAAATTCCACCCATTTCTTGGCTTACATAAAAAATTCCCCTCACCTTTCCCTCAAAAATTGAAAAAGAAGGATGAAGTTTTCAAGTTCAAGAAATTCCTCTTTATGTTCAAAAGTCTCTCGGTGAAATTTCATAGGAACTATGATTTTCTTATTTGGTAAGATTGTATAAGAATTAAGAAATTCCTCTTTATGAGTGTTCATGGTAGCAAAACTGCTAATTATGAAAGGCAATGAAGATTATTTGGGAGAGGTGGGATGTGCTAGTGCTATTTGACAAACATCATGTTGCACTTGCTTCAAATGAAGGGCCTCGTCGGTGGGCAAACTCACAAGGAAGCACACAATCACCTCAAAAACTTTATTGATGTGTGTAGTCCATTAAATATTGCCGACATAACTCAAAAGTCTATTTGAATGAGGTTGTTTCCTTTTTTTCCCTTATTTGGAGAACCTACTATATGGTTGTGAGAAATAACGAAAGAATTTATCACTTCTTGAATCGAGCTCACAAAAGCTTTCCTAGATAGGTTCTTTCCACCCTCTCAGATGCTTCAACTTCGAGACGAGATCACTAACTTCCACCAAAAGTGTGGTGAACCTCTTCGTAAATCATGGCTTCGATTAAAAAAAAATTGCTTCAACCGTTCTCTTGACCAATTGAACAAAGTAGTTGTGGATAATGGTGGTTCTCTCATAAGGCAAAATTTGATAATTTCCACTGCTTTGATTTATTGAATAACCAAAAAGAATCAAGCTTGTCATACTCAGAAGGCTGAGGTGGAAAAGGGTGTTACCTACTTCTCCCTAAGTACCAAAAAAAAAAATTCAAAGATGAAGAACAAGATACAAACATGACAAAAATGATGACTCAAATGGAACTCTTGACTAAGCATGTCATGGGTGCGAGTTCTAAAAGTATTAATAATGTGGTTATAAAGGGGAGTTGAGTCTATGAAGATGACGATTTTGACAGTATGTATAATGAAGAGGTGAAGTTTTTGGAAAATCAAGCATGGAGTTCTCCAAAGGCAAGACGAGAATCAATGTTGGAATAAGGATAGAAATAGTGAGTGGAGAAACAAAGAAAGAGATGGAACCTGGAGGGACCCTGATAGAGAATGGTGTGATTGCAATAATGGTTAGAGGGATAGAGAAAACGAGATGAATCATTATGTGCCTCCCTATGATTGACCTAAGACTAAAGATTCCAATGCTGACCCTAAGAGTTATCGAACAAAAGATATGTTTTCTCAAATTCTTAATAAGGTTGAAGGTTTAGACAAATATCTTAAAGAAATGAAGAGTGAGTTCTCTTCTTTCAACCAAACGACCACTTTCCATTCTATTTCCATTAAACAACTTGAGTCTAAAATGAACCAAATTTTTACCTATTTAAATTCGAGACAGAAGAGGGGTCTTCTAAGTGATAGCATGATTAATATGAGAAATAAAAATACCCATTGCATGACTATTGTTACAAGGAGTGGCTGAGAGAGAGGTACAAAAGAAAGATGAGACGCTTGGGGTTGATAACAAGCAAAAATCAAAGTTGAGGAGTCTGATTCCGATAGGGTGAAAATTTATGGATCGGTATTGGTCAATGATGAAATTGATAGAGAGGTGCCTTTGAATGTTGAGGGGGTGGGGGTTGAAAGTGGAAAGAATGATGAAATTCCACCCGTTTCTTTGGCCTACATTAAAAATTCCCCACCTTTCCCTCAAAAGTTGAAAAGAAGAATGAAGATTTCAAGTTCAAGAAATTCCTCTTTATGTTCAAAAGTTTCTATGAAATTCCACATGAACTATGATTTTCTTATTTGGTAAAATTGTATAAGAATCAAGAAAAATTTTGATAGTAGTTTTTATTACTCGTAGAGTTTTCACATTTAAGAGAAAACATATAATTCAAGTAATTTAAATTACATGTCGAAACAAGAGGCCAAAAATTATCATATTCATTTAATTTCAGAATACCCCAAAAGCTTCTTTCATAAAATAGTGTTGAGCATAAGAAATGAGACAGAAAATTATTGATTGATTAATATAACCGTTATAACAAATAAAGACATGTGAATACGTCCAACAGCATAAAAACGAAAAAAAAAAAACAAATTTGATTTTTCCATATGCACTCTTTTTATTCAAAAAAGTAGGAAATTTTATAGGTTCATATGCACACAACCCAAGAAAGTTGCTTCTTCAGCTAATTAAATGCACTTCTCTCTCTCTCTTCAGCATAAAGAAGCCAACAAACTCTCATTTGCTTTGTACCCTTATCTTAGCTTACACAATTCTTGTTTATTTCTTATTGGGGGTACTTGAAGAAGCAAATGGGTGGACTTTTCACCTGCTGAAAATGGAGGGGTCTGTCAGCTTCAGATTCTTGGTGGGGGCAATTTTTTTGGGGATTTTTGTGGGTTGTGGATGCTCTCTAGAGAATGCTGCTGATTCAGCTACTGCAGTGTATATTGTGACCCTGAAAAAAGCTCATTTTAATGAAGAACTCAACTTGAAGAATCAATACCACTCAAGAAATGGTGGGTCACAGAGAGTTAATAGATTTGACAAACCAAGGTATTATTTTTAACTGGATATATAGTGTCATGTTAAGAATTCATACAACTATTTTGGGATTGAAGCGTTCAATGTTGCTCTAGATGAATGGTTTTTTTTTGTGGTTAGCCCACTTTCGTTTGTTTAATTTCTACTACAGTATTATTTTAGTTGTAACTTGGGCATGTGTAAAATTGAAGTCTTTTAGTGGTTTTGAAGTTCCACTTGTAATCTCTAGCATTTCTAATTATTTAAGTGTTTGAAATTGTAGATTGTAGTATGTTAAAAGGAGGGAAACTTATCTGATTGTGTTTATGTATTTTAGTGTTTTGACTGATTGAGAATGAGAAGCAATGCATTATTATGTAAGGACTCTCATGGAATGAAGCGTAATTAATTACATGAGGACTTTACTCTTTTAGTGGCTAGATTCTTGGAGCTGTGTATCCCACTATCCAAAAAGTCACTTTAATAAGAAAGTTTTAGATTTGTCTAACTATCACACTCTGGTCTATTCGTATTACATTGTCATATCAGATTCTTGCATTAGACAATTAGAGTTTTTGTTCCTCTCTGTCTTGTTTTTAGTGTATCTATTTGAAAGTGAGAAGTTAACTTCTTCAGTCATATTACTGATAGCTGTTTTCTGAATCAGCAATATTTCACATATAGATCGCATGAATGGTTCCTACGTTTCTCAAATGCATGATTCCTTATTGAGGAGGGTGTTAAGAGGAGAAAAGTATCTAAAAGTATACAGCTACCACTACTTGATCAATGGATTTGCTGTGCTTGTAACACCCCAGCAGGTATGGAGAAATTAGAATTTTCTTTAACATGCCATACATAGTTAAGTCATTACATAGTCTTTTGTGACTTTTGATCATGGTCATATCTTATGTGAACATGTATTTGATCAATCTGAAGGCATTCAAGCTTGCAAGGAGGAGAGAGGTGTCAAATATGGTTTTGGATTTCTCAGTTAAGACTGCAACCACACATACACCACAATTTCTAGGTCTACCTCATGGGGCATGGGCTCAAGAAGGTGGCTATGAAACTGCTGGGGTAGGCATTGTAATTGGTTTCATTGACACTGGAATTGATCCTACACACCCCAGCTTCAATGATAAGTCACCTGAGCAAACATATCCTGTTCCTGAGCACTTCTCTGGCATTTGTGAGGTCACCCTGGATTTTCCATCCGGATCTTGCAACAGGAAACTTGTTGGTGCCCGTCATTTTGCAGCATCTGCTATAACCAGGGGAATATTTAATGCAACTAAGGACTTTGCTTCTCCTTTTGATGGTGATGGTCATGGAACGTAAGTGTTCTCTATCGTATGGACATTCCACTGCAGCTCTTTTGTAGGCTTATTTGGTATTCACAATGTGCACACTGAATGTAAGAGCTCTCGATCATAATCAATATGTTTCTTCATTTCTTCTGAAGTATAAAATTTGGCGATCCACCTCCTTTATATATGAATTTTGGTCATGTAACATTCTTTTTAGGAGTAAGACTTGAAAATAGTGAAGGAGTTCCAAACAAGTTGGGGTTGTCTATATGAATCCTCACTGACCATGTTTCTCCATTTAAATTCATCTCTGCACTACTTTATCAGTTTAAAAAGGAGGAAACTTTATAGGCCTACCCTAGACTAACACTTTTTGATCAAGACCTCTCTGATGCCTCATTTAGGATATGTAAAATTCTGATTTTGTTGGTCGTAATGGATCATTCATGGAATTATCAAGAGTTGAGCATCTCCATGAAACTCTATGAATGTGGTGCAGTTGCACAGTAGGGAAGATGCTATAGCTACATCGTATGTTTCACTTGATTAAACAATCATCATTGTCTCCGAGTATTCATGTTTCACAGTGATTCATCTATACTTTTATAGCTTTCTTCTGTTTTGCTTGCTAATCCATGTATTAACTCTCTAAAGTTTCAGTTCTCCTCTTGAGGTGGTTGCTTCATGTCACTTAGATTCCAACCATAATTTGAGTATCCATTCCATTCTGAATCATAATGGTAACCATATGAATCTGTAGAAATTTATCAAGAGACAATGTGGAAATTTTTTCGTGTTCCATTACTGTACCATCTTTCAAGTATATATACAAGTATTATAATAAGAAAATGAATAATGTTAAAATTCTATCCTACTTGTAATATTTTTATTGGCTATGTACAATTTTCCTAACAAACTTTATTCCTTGTCTATGCCAAGCTTGTGCTTGTCACATCCTTTGTAAGGAAGCTTCCTGAAGTCGCTGATGTGGACGGCACAAATCTTTTCTTTGACTAAATTAGTATTAAGGGCCTGATCTGTGCCACGTCGCTGCTGACTATTCCAAGGCTTAAAACACTTTGCATTCTTCAAAGTGTCTTTTGTCTCATTGTCTGAACAACTCTTCTTTCTCTCTGAATATGTCTTCACCATTGATGAATGTGAGTTCAAGGTCGGTGTATTCTTAACAGAATCATCCTGCCTGTATGTACGAGAAGCATAGTAAGATTGTTCAGATTATGAACTATAGAAACATAAGTTACCTTCTTGGTTTTTCATGAATGAGGTGATTTCCACCACAATAGTCACATGTTCTGATCCTTTGAAAATGCTCTGCTATCAGCTCTTAGTTGTTTTTCTGGATTCTCCTGTAGTTCATCTTTAAAGCACTTGGGGTGAGTTCAAATTCAGGGATACTTTCTTCAAGTCTCCTTCTCTACCATTTGTCAGGTACTAAGGATGAAATTTCGAAAATGTGAAAGAAAAAATTATATACAACTCTCAAAGTTGCAACAACAACAATTAGCAAATAGATGTTGCCCAATCCCCCGGAAAAGGCCCCAAAATCTGACGAGCCCAAGATCTGTGTATAAAAACTAAAGCTCATGCTTGTCAAAGATAGTATTGATAATGTCAATCCCATGAGAGGATTGAGTTTCTAATATGCTAATTAGGATTGCTTGATTACTTTTTGAGAAATCCGATTTGTAAAATTAATAATGACGGGAGAAATAGCCACAACTCAATTGAGTTGAGTCAAGAATCCACCTATGGAATAACTAGCAATTATAATACCTTTCATCAACCCTTGTTGAAGTATGAATGTTTCTCGCGAATACATTTCAATCCCTCTAATCTTTTCTAAAGATGCGAAGGTTGTATTTAAAGGCTCTGCATAGATAGAAATATATAGTCTTCTTTCAAATATCTATGTGGCAATTCTAAGGTTAAAATACTAATCCCTTCTTGCGAATAGAATCAATATTCAACTAGACTATCCTAAACCCAATCAAAGGAATGGAGAAATTGATATATCTCTTGTGATTATTATATCAATAAACTCCTCAAGGAATCAATTAAACACATGAGATAAAAGGTAAATTTGTCACTAATAAAACCACAGGTTTCATCAAAACTCAACTATGAGAATGTCACTCCATAATGGAGTAAAAACAATCATTGAAAAATTATGAGTCATCATGCTCATAACAAAAGATTAGGAGAATAAGGTGGTTTAGAAGAAACTCTAAATCTCTTTAATCCTCCTTGAAATTCTTAAGTTCTCTTTTTTTCTCTCCCAACAGCTGCGTCTGTCTTTCGGTGTCGCCTCCCCTTTTTTCATACTCTCCAAAGTCCCTATTTATTTCCATCTCAACCCTAGTAACTAAAAAGTTGAAAATTTGAACTCAGGGTCGTGGAGTCACAGTGACCAAAACTCCACCACTGCGACAGTCGGGGATATTTTGTGCCCAATTCTTCATTTCATGCATCTCTTTTGCTTGAGTCTTGTGTATTTCCTCCTTCCTTTTTTTGTGAAGTAATTAAATTGTATTAGAAAAGCATCAAGGAGATGCAATGGTCACCACTAAATAAAGTTGCTTGTATTAGAAAAGCATCAAGGAGATGCAATGGTCACAACTAAATAAAGTTGCTTCAAACATGAAAATAACATTAAGCTAACTATGGAAAAACCTGTAAAGCAGCCAAAAAGATCCCTTTAAACCTTACTGTGCTAGAGTTAGGGAGCTAACAAAATCCCAAAAATTATCCATACTAACAGGGGAGAGAAAGTGCCAATATGGGAGTTGATATTCCATCAAAGCAGCTGCAGTTACCATCTTTCCAAATGCTCCAAAATTTTACTTTTGGGATCATCCTCCAGGTACTTTTGATAGTGTTGTCAACTGTCCGACATATCCTGCTAGCATAAGTATCTTTGATGGAGAAGGGGAATAACCCATTGGAGGCCTAACAACGAGAAGAAGAAATGCCATATGCCAATTGTAATGGGGCAGTGCAGAAAAAGATGGTTGACACTTTCATTATTTTTTTTTACACAAAAAACATCTGTTGATGAGCATGATGCCCTTTCCTAAGGTTGTCTTGTGTTAAACATGTCTTGGATGCAAAACAGGAGACCTTTGTGTATTTCCTCCTTACCTCCTTCATTGCATATCTTTCATCAAAACAACCAAATATGTGAGGGATTACATCATATACTACTTAAAACTCTTCAAACATGAGAAAAGACATAAATACACTTGAATCATTGTCCTCAAGCAAAAAAGACTGCCATAAAACAGCAACAGAAGGACATAAAATCAGTTAAGAGCTTTCTTTTTCAGCAAAATTGACTTAGATCAACCAAGAGAATTAAACACCCTTTTTTTTGCTCATACTCGTGTATTGACAAAATGAAATTCTTGTGTCCCTTGAATCCCATTATGCCTCACCAAACTGACCACCCCAAATTAACAAAAAGATACCAAGCCAACAAGTGTGAATCCCAATATGCCTCTCCAAACGGACTACCTCAAATTAACAAAATAGATACCAAGCCAACAAGGGAGAAACAAATGGGCATGCTCAAGAACAATGACGCTCACAATGATCAAAGAAATTCTTGCACCACATAGAAGAGTACCAAAAGCTTTCTTATCTTGTCACTATCCACTAATGAGTTCTCAAGTAAAGATCAGGTAGAATTTTTTTCATTTGGTAGTAATGTAGACTAAAGGATGAATATGGTAATATTGGATAAGAGTGACTAATTTTCCTTTGGCACGATCATTACTCAGCACTTAAGCTCACAAACATATTTTTTTTTCACACTAAATCCCATACATGAAACTCTGTTCTCATTTTGCTCAAGTAAGGTGTGCCCAAGGGTTCCAAAACACACACAGAAAAGAGAAAAACAATGAAAAGAAAAGAAAGGACCTTGTTTGATTTGAACCTTCTTGATATCATCAATTTGTTATCTTTACTCCAAACTTAAGATACTGAAAATAGCATCTAAAACTATGTGGCTTGAATTTCTTATTAAACAGGCATACAGCTTCTATTGCGGCAGGAAACCATGGAGTCCCTGTTATTGTAGCTGGACATGACTTTGGAAATGCTAGTGGAATGGCTCCTCATTCACAGTAAGAAATTGAATTTTAATTTTCTGTTCACATTTGATTTACTGATATCAACCTGCAAGGTGATACTCTACATGCAGAAGAGATTCCAGCGATGTAACTATCATCAGTTCATCACTAGTAGTTTAGTGTATCACAGTATTGCAATCAACTTATGTGTTAGTTCTTGTTCATCTTTTCTATAAGCCCTTTGTCTTGTGAATCTTGCAATGACTTCTAACCAAGCGCTTTCTCAATGCAAAAGATTTTGACGACTTAACTTTACAAAAAGGTTCTTTTGTAACAAAATGATCCTGATCACTTCTTCAGGAGTTAACCAAACATTACAATTAGCACACCTCTTCTCTGATAAGTGAAGTGATGAAAGTCTGAATCCATTGTTGAGGGGAGGGGGATCCTGGAGCACTGGGAAGTGCTTGAGTTCTGAGCACTTGGGGAAATTACTAGAAATCTACTTTAATGATCGACCTTCTCAACTTCCTCAAGTGGTCATAACTCAAGCCTCCAGTGTTTCCTTTTATCAAAATACAGAGATTGAGATAAGTATTAATTTCCTTACCTTGTATCTTTCTCGCTAAAAGTAGTATTAGAGCAGATACTGATTACATGCCGATATTTCTAGCATTGCAGTTTACAAGGCATTATACAAGAGTTTTGGTGGCTTTGCTGCAGATGTCGTTGCTGCCATAGACCAGGTAAGTTTTTATTTTTGGCTAGAGAGTGGAGAACTTTTAAAGGAAAAGAATAAAGAGAAAAGGATGCATGTCCTGGTTTTGACTTTTGGATAAAGAGAGGAATGGAGAAAGATATATTGCAGATATTGGATAAAGACCAGGTAAGTTTTTATTTTTGGCTAGAGAGTGGAGAACTTTTAAAGGAAAAGAATAAAGAGAAAAGGATGCACGTCCTGGTTTTGACTTTTGGATAAAGAGAGGAATGGAGAAAGATATATTGCAGATATAGGGAAGTCTCTCATCAAGTTTCTGTAACATAAAATAGTAGTATACTAGTTTAGATTTGATTTTGTCAGAAGGTGAAAAATGTTTCATCTGTTAGTTATAAAAGAAAAAGTTTCATCTTTTTTTGACACAAAAGAGAAAGATTCAAATACCAAAATGGGTCTAATTTTTGGTACAGAATAGAATGGGAAGCAGGCCAATTTTTTATGGATGGAGGGCATATTCATTTGTCCTTCATGCTTATGAATCATTTACTGCTAATTCACAGAGGCAAAAGAGAAAAAAGAATAAATATTAATTCCTCAGTGTTGATACTTGTCTGTTACAATTATAGGCCGCCCAAGATGGCGTGGATATAATCAATTTATCAATCACGCCAAACAGGCGTCCTCCTGGTTTGGCGACTTTCTTTAATCCGATAGACATGGCCTTGTTATCAGCAGTAAAAGCTGGCATTTTTGTGGTACAAGCAGCTGGCAATACTGGACCATCACCTAAGAGTGTTGCTTCGTTCAGCCCATGGATCTTCAGTGTTGGTGCTTCAACCCATGACAGGGTTTACAGCAACTCTATATTGCTGGGCAACAACATCACCATATCTGGAGTTGGACTAGCACGTAAGTCTTCCTTGGTGATTGCTGCATTTAATTCTATTTTGAGAATATTAATGGAGCATGATTCTTCCCACAAATATCTATTATTTTAATCATTCCCTCTCACTTAGTCTTAAATTGTCTGTTAGAAGAAGTTAACGAGTAGAACTGAAATTATGTAATTCTTTGAAGAGAAGTGGGGCAATAATCAGATTTCACTACCTAACTATTCCGCTCTACACTAAGTTAAGTAATTTTCTGTTGGAACTTCTAATGATAATTTATGCAACTTCTAGGTCAGTTGTTGTTTCTCTCTCTTTCTGGAGAGAGAAATTGCAATTCCTTGCGAGTTAGAAAAGAATGAGTAATAGATCATCCTATGGAGAGTCACAACTCTTGGATATGGTTGGATCAGTTATAGGTAAGTTAGTACCGATCCAGAGAACTTAGGTGATAGAGGTGTTACAAGGAAGGTAGATGTCGACCCTTACTTACGAGTATTCAAATTAGCCCTTTAATTTGTGGTGTTGTTCTATATGTTCTGATATCTTATACGTAAAAGAATGCATTTGAGGGAAGAGGATAGTCTTCAATCACCAGATTTTTCAAGTCAATTCATATATTTTTTGTGACTTAAAAATCAGCCCTTTGGGCAAATTGCAACTCTTGAAACTCGGGGATGATGTGCCTGTCCTATACCTTTCTCCACTTAAATACTGGACTTGGTTCACTAGAGCTCGAACTTTTGACCTAAGTCCCAAGTCCCTCAACCTCAACCCCTTGGGGCTTTCTCTCTCAAGTGAATATTAAGGTGTTTCTAAATAAGTTTGACTTAGTTCACTTGGCATAGAGCTCACACTTTTGACCTAAGTCACAAGTCCCTCAACCTCAACCCTTTGGGGCTTTCTCAAGTGAATATTAAGGTGATTCTAAATAAGTTTGATATATTTTTGGATTAAACATGATCCATTACCTTTTGATTAAGAAGTTAGGCTTAGACTTAAAGTATGTACAGGTCATGTGCCACATTAGATAAATTACTATATCCACGGTAAAGTGTGTCACTAGCATTGAGGCGTAATGTCACGAACTTATACTTCAATTAACGCTCCGTGTGACACTTGACAACTTATTCACGACTATTTCACGATCTTGTAAACTCAAGTAAGACCTTTTCAAACTTAGATCGCTAAGAGAATGAAGAAAGACACAAGAGTTTTTAAAGAAGGCTTTTGTATTGCTTTGGAAGATTGCTTACACTTGCTTGGTTGAGTTACAAATGAATGCCCCTCTATTTAAACTACACACCTAGGGGCTAAAGTGCAAATAAAAATTGCTATACAAGTCCCTACATATTTACAAATTGGGCCCTCTTTTAGAATTCTCTACAAGGCTAGAGAATTCTCAAGCCTTCCAAGAACACTCTTCTAGGGTATTCTAGAGCCTTCTCCAAACCTTTCCAAGATTCTAGATTCTTCCCCCCCTTAATTTTATGCCCTACTTGTATGGCAAATGGGCGGGTCATGACAGTAAGTTCTTCATGCTTTCTTCTAATCTTTTCTCTCACATGGTATCAAAGCATGCAAAACTTTTGAATTCAAGTCTTGTCGCCACCTATCAACAAATATTTTCATGTACTTAGCCCAAGAAAAATAATTAGACCACACATCAGTGTGATCAAACTAAAATAAGTACACAAAAGTGCAATTTCTAACAATTCAAGCTAGATAAGGTAGTTTACTTAATTTAATATGAATCTTCTCCCAGATGTTGCTATAGTGAATAGTGATTGCACCGCCAGGAACTAGAGTTATTTTTCAACAAAGATCCAATGCCATGTTATATTAAGTGAACCACCTCAAATACAAGTTGAATTGTTAAAGATGATATATGTTTATTATAGACCCAAAAATGCTCCAATATCACATTAAATGGTGTGAACTGTCTCATCTAAAAGTTTAAATTGTTAGAGAGGAAACATGTTTATTTATTTTAGGTCTATAGGCAGAGAGAAATTAAAAGGTGAGCAATCTTTCATTTGCGGGAAACAGATGCCATTTTAGGACTACCTAAAAAGAAAAGGAGAGCTATGTTTTCCAGACAAATGAAGTTTAATCCCTTGTCATGTATTGGTAATACCAAAAATTTATCAAAATCAGCGGAGAATGCGAAATGATATTACAGGATTGCCTTTAAAGTTGAGGAAGCCGATGCCCTTGAAAGTTGTTGTAGAAAGTGAAGCCTATAGAAATTTACTCTTGGAGATGGTCTGCTTGATAATTTCAACAACATAAATTCTATGCTGTTATTCTTTCTATAGTTCTTTTTTGCAGATTTCGGAAGCTGCGAAGCATCCTGTAATATCTCCCAAAAAAATGTTTGCCTAAGCTAGATGCCTGAGATATTTTCCCTGACACATCCATACATGCATACCTAAGCTAGATGCCCGAGATTTTCCCTGACACATCCATAAATGCATACCTAAGCTAGATGCCTGAGATTTTCACTGGTATGCCCATAAATAATGCATACCTAATCAGGCATGTACTTTGTGGAGAATTTATGCACTAGTGCCATTAGATTTTTTGTATTGTAAAAGTCTTTTTTTGGTTTGGTGTTGGTGGTTATTGAGCATAAGTCTGTTAGTATCTGTCGATACAATCACTGAAAATGCTGCAACTTTATTTCCAGTTTCTCTTTGAATGCAATAATGCGGCACTTTAGTTGTTGGTGCCGTACTGTACCCTTAACCAATTAAACTTCTTTACTACCTTTTCAGGAGTTCCCTGTAATTTGGAGTTTGTTAGTTTGTAATACTTTTGGAAGGGGGACTACTTTGATGTAGTATACCTGTGGATAAATAGAAGAAAAAGTTACCATTCTCAAAAAAAAATTGTTTTTGTTTACAGCTGGAACAGATAACATGTACATGCTTGTTTCTGCAATTCATGCTTTGAATGACACAGCTGCTAAAGATATGTATGTTAGTGAATGCCAAGATGCCAGTAAGTTCAATCATACGCTCGTTCAAGGGAATCTCTTGATTTGTAGCTACTCCATCCGGTTTGTGCTTGGGCTTTCCACCATCAAACAGGCCTCAGAAACAGCTATGAACCTTAGTGCAGCTGGAGTTGTATTTGCCATGGATCCTTTTGTTATCACCTATCAACTTAATCCGGTTCCAATGAGATTGCCTGGAATTATAATTCCTTCTCCAGATGATGCGAAGGTGAGTTTGGATGTAAAAATGCTTTTAGTATCTGTGCAGATCAAAATGGACAGTTGTGCATTTAAGTGCACAGGAAGTGAGATAAGAATCGTAAAAACATGTAAATTCTTTTGTTACAAGTTTACTCATTCTGTGACTGTTGGTATGTATGCACTACAGTTCTCGTCTTTGATTTTAATTTGGGGATTTTAATTAATTTGGCAGATTTTACTTCAGTACTACAATTCTTCTCTTGAGAAAGATGAAACTACAAGGAAAATCGTCAAGTTTGGGGCTGTTGCCTGCATTTTGGGGGGAATAAAACCAAATTTCAGTTTGTCTGCTCCGAAGGTTATGTATTATTCTGCAAGGGGACCAGATCCAGAAGACAATTCTGTTGATAATGCAGACATATTGAAACCCAACCTAGTTGCTCCAGGAAATTCTATATGGGCTGCTTGGAGTTCCCGCGGCGCTGAATCGATTGAATTTCAAGGTAGATGGTCTCAAGAACTAAAAAAGGCTTCCTTATAAAAAGAACTAAAATAGGCTAGCAGGTTACTCAAGAACTATCTGTAGAAGTATGGGGTTACTCATAAAACAATAAAAATGCTATGAAAAATTATTTACTGACCCAAGTACTTCCTATTATTTAGGTGAAAACTTTGCAATGATGTCTGGTACAAGCATGGCTGCTCCTCATATTGCTGGTTTAGCAGCCTTGATCAAGCAAAAATTTCCAACCTTTACTCCGGCTGCAATCGGATCTGCACTTTCTACAACAGCCTCTCAACATAATAAATATGGGGGCCCAATACTAGCCCAGCGTGCATATGCCAACCCAGATTCGAACCAGTCTCCTGCAACACCTTTTGACATGGGAAGCGGATTCGTGAATGCTACTGCAGCACTGGATCCGGGCCTTATTTTGGATACAAGTAAGCTACTCTTTGCTGTTTAGGAGAGTATTGTTCATTGGCCTTTTAGCCCATTATTGAACTCTATTAATTTCAAAATGACAGATGCCGTAATCTCAGGGATGAGAGTAGTTCCTAGAATTGCGGAATGATAAGAATTAAGTAGACGAATTATGTTTGAATTATAGATGCAAAAGTTTTCCAATCAAGGTTTGTCTAGTGTCAATGGCATTCCTAGCCAACAATTTGCCTGGCCTAGTCTTTATCCCACAACTTTGATCTAAAGTAAAGACATCTACTGTGGTTCTTGACAATTACACTCATATTAAGGATCAACATCTCATACCTTGAAGAAGGAAATAAGAGTGTTTAAACAGGAGATAATTTTTATCATTGCACAAAAGATATCTTATTAAAATACTGTGTCTTGTGTCTTCAGTCTCGTGTACCGAAGGTATATCATATCGTATACCTAAGGGTTCTCAGTTCTGATCTCTATATAAAAAACACAAGCCTAAAAACCCCTTTTGGGCGTGACTTTCTTCAGCCCTTATGGGCGTGAGTGGGCATTAATCTCAACTCCTGGACAGAAATTTCAGCCCCTTTCTTGGGCATTTTTAGCTCCAGTCTTGGGCTTCATGTACGCCCCTCCTCTTGGGCTCTATATGGCCCCAATCCTCCTTTTCCTGGACTTGGACTATGAAATATGTATAGCGCTTGGGCCACTCCTTGCCATAATTCTTGGACTCTTCTTCCACGATAAACACATTCTTGATATCTCATTGAACCTCACCAACTTTATTTTGATCTCCTTGGCTTCCAAAGCTTCATAATAAAGGTATGCCGCCATGGATGCTATCACTTAGTCACTTCCAACCTCTGTTCTTAGGAAAAGTCCATGAAGTTTAGAATGTGTTTTTGGTATGAAGGAGTATATTTCCTAGATGTTTTCTTACTTATTTTATAGTTTTTAGCAAGTAAGCAATTATCTAGCAAAACACTATATGGGTGGAAGAAGGCCTAAGGAGTGGGAGGGTCAATGGGTAGGGGTTGGTGCCGTTGGGTGGGTATGGAGGATATACAATAAATATAGAGTGTCACTTATAAAACTTATTTTACCTACTTCCATTAAGGAAGTCATTTTCCTCATTTTTAAAGAACTTATTTTCCTAGAGAATATTTTTCCAAAATTTTGTCCAACCAAGCATGAGAAAATAAGAAAATATGTTTTCCTCCATATCCCAAACACATCAATAACATTTCTGTAATTATAAGAATGTTCTCTAGTTGATTGGTTATAAGTCTACCATACCATACTGCAGAGAAAAGAATGCATGTTCAGACATTGAGAAGGAAGGTCAAACCTAATCCGGTGTCAACACTTGATTGATTGGAGCTCCTAACTAGCTTCAACCAAGTTTTCGGTAGGCTAGGAAGCATATCTTTATCTCTTCTGTGTCTATTAAGTGTTTTGATCTTTATACAAGTATAGGGTGTTAAGAATCGTATAGACGTGTTTACCATTGTTTAAAGTTTCTTGGTACAAAGACTAGGCCAGACAATCTATTGGGAAGGAGTGGCGTTGAGAGCTAGGTTTGGCCAACCTTCTTTAGAAAGTTTTGCATCTCTAGTTCAAACTATAATTTGCTTATTTTGTTTATTAGTTCTCATCATACTGCGATTCTCACCCCACATTATTTCAAATTTGTTGTTCTCTAAGCATAAACTGTTTGATTCATTTTAAGGACTACGTGAGTGATTTGACTTAAATGAGAATTGAGAATAATTCAACGTAGAGTTAGTTAAATCACTAAAAACGTTCAGAAAACAATGACTAATGATTTGGGGGTGGCTAGAATACATCCATTGTGGCACATCATTTTCTGTTAGATGTGGACCTTAAATTCTGATTTGTAGGTTATAACGACTACATGGCGTTCCTCTGTGGCATAAATGGATCAGCTCCTGTTCTTCTGAATTACACTGGTGAGAGCTGTGGAGTATCTACTATGAATGGAGCTGACCTAAACATGCCTTCAATCACAATATCAAAGTTGAACCAATCAAGAAAAGTTCAAAGAATGTTGACCAACATAGCGGGCAATGAAACATATATTGTCGGTTGGAGCGCACCTAATGGGGTTTCCATTAAGGTTACCCCAAAGCGATTTTTCGTTGCAAGTGGACAGCAGCAGATCTTGAATGTGTTCCTCAATGCTACCATGAACAGTACAACACCAAGCTTTGGAAGAATAGGACTTGTAGGAAACAAAGGTCATGTTGTAAACATTCCTTTATCAGTCATAGTAAAAATCTCATACCACTCAACTAACAGCTGATACTTCTGATCTTGTAATTTTGTTAGGTAACCAATTTTTTTATTTGCGTCAGGCTCTGTAAATGTTTTTGTAATGCAGGTATCTTATTGAGGATGATAAATAACCATAATTTCATTTCCTCAATCACAATCTCTCCTTTATATTTTTTAAAAATATTTACTATGCCCAGTCATGTAATATGCTTTTGTAAAATAATATTAATATTACTCAAACTAAACTTTGAGGGGCTCTTTGGTTTACTTTTTCTATCTATGTATAACTAATTATACATTCTATTGAGTATTAAGATGGGCATAACTAAAGGGTTTTAATGCATGAATTAGTATGATTAAAGACACATTTGTCCATAAAAACCTTTTCCACATTCTTTCCACCATATTTGTGGAGGGTATTTTTGGAAACAAATACTCTTTTTTAAAATTATGCAATGCATGTTATTTTTAAGGCGAAATGATCTGATGGATCCTTGTGTTTGTATGAGTTTGTATTTTGGATCCTTCTACTTTATCTTTTGGCAACTGAACTCTTAAACTCAATTAAAATGAGATTTTTAAACTCATTCAACCATGTGTGTAGCTCACTCTCCCTTACATAAATGACATGTCATATCCATGTTAGATGTATTAATACCAAATCATAATTATTTCATAACTGTTTTTTAAAATTAATAACCAAAATTATTTAATAAGAGGTTAAATGACAAAATTTAATTTATTCTTTAATGTAAAACTTAATGCATCTTCTCCCTTATTCCCACCATGAAACAACCAAAATCTACCGAAGAAAGCTGGCGAGACCACCTACACTCTCTCCCTCACCCATCTTCATCTCCGTTGCACACCCTCACTATTTTTCTTTCCTCCTCCTTCAGCCTTCACAATATCAACAACCTAAGCCGTCGCACCACCAGATCTGGCCAAAAAACCTCTTCGTTGTTGTGATCAAATCCTCGCACCCTCACCCACCTTGTTCTCTTCTCCACTGACAGCGTGATACAATTATAGAGAATTAACAGAGAAGAAACAAATTCCAGGAGTAATCTCGAGGAATATGAACAACTAGTTCAGGGATTAAACTCGAGAATTCAGCTAAAGAGAAAAATATAAAGAGAAGAAAACAATCTTATTATCAATCAATGAATGGATATCAATGATATAATACAATCCTTATATAGGCTCCTAGAGATTGCTAAAACAATTAAAATCCAAAGTTACAGTAATAACAAAATTTAACCATCTAATAGTGCTAACTGTTCTAACTAACTTCTGGACTTGTTAACAGAATTTGCCACATCAGCGATTAGTTATCGATTAGTTCTCCTTTTGCTAACTTGTATCAATACCCCTCCGTAGAGAACATACTTGTCCTCAAGGATGAAAAGAGGGAAATATATGCTTCAATTCAGAAAGATATTCCCAAGTTGCCTGATCAACGTCCAAACCTAACCACTGGACAAGCACTTGACACACAGCTTTGTTACCCTTCCAACCAACCTCCTCTCAAGTATAGCTTCAGATGTCGAACAATTTGGACTGGAAAGTTGTAGGACTGGAGGATGAGAAATGTCCCTAGGCACTTCATGGTATCTCTTGAGCTGAGAAACATAGAAAATGGGATGGATCAACACCTCAACATGAAGCAACAATTTATAGGTCACTGGACCAACCCGTACGTCAATGATATAGGGGCCATAATACTTTGTTGCTAGCTTGTTGAAAGGTTGAGCAGCCACTGAAACTTGTCTATAAGGTTGTAGCTTCAAATACACCCAGTCACCAACTGCAAACACCATGTCTGATCTATGTCTGTTAGCCAAGTCCTTCATCCTGTGTTGTGCCCAACTGATGTGAAACTTAAGCAACTCAATAATTGCCTCTCTTGCTTCCAAGGACCTGTCAACCATCTCGTTAGCAGCTTCTCCAACCAAATAAGGATGAATAGGTGGTTTTTGACAATAAAGAACTTCAAAGGGTGTGAATTTGATAGCAATGTGATAAGTGGTATTATACCACCACTCTGCAAGTGGTAGATATGAGGGCCAAAGCAGAGGTTTGTCTGAGCAAAAACACCTCAAATAGGTTTCCAAAGTTCTGTTCAGTACTTCAGTTTGCCCATCAGTCTGGGGTGATATACAATAGATCTTTGCAACTAAACTCCTTGTAGAGTGAACAACTCCTTCCAAAATGAGCTGAAGAAAACAAGGTCCCTATCACTCGTCAAGGTAACAGACATACCATGGAGTTTAAAGACGCGATCCAAGTAACACTGAGCTACATCTTGGGCAGTATAAGGATGTTGCAAGATCATTAAATAACCACATTTACTAAGTCGATCCACAACTACTAATATCACATTATTGCCCTTAGCTTTAGGGAGACCTTCAATAAAATCAAGACACTCATCAGTCTACATTGTACTCCATCAGGGATGGGCAGGGGTTGTAACAACCCTGGTATGCAACAACATCATACTTGTGCCGTTGGCAAATATCACACTTGTGGATAAAGTTTCTAATATCCTGAACAATAAACTTCCAATAAAATAATGATTGAATTCTTCTGATAGTTGCATCCATTCGAGAATGCCCACCTTGAGGAGTAGAGTGCCATAGTGTAATGATATTATTCCTCAATTGTGTATCATGTCCAACTACTAGTCTACCCTTCCATATGAGTTGGTCATTGCACCAAGTAAACTACTTGGAAGGTTGAACCTGCAACTTAACAATCAACTCTTACAATGTAGCATCTTGTGTCCAAGTGTCCTTGATCTGTTGGTACAATGTATCTGTAACATCTCGCTATTCGAAAGAACTAGGAAGAAGTTAAGAATTTGGAAATAGTCATCTTTGGAAAGAATTGAAATCTGGAAAATTTGTCAAGTATGTTAAGTTGAGTTTTGGTCAACTTAAAATGACCATAACTCCTAGCTCAGGATGATTTAGGTGTGTTTACAGATATAGTAGAAAATATCTTGGAATGATCTTTCCAACGTCGCCGAGTTTGCACGATTCCGAGTTCGTATGAGTGAGTTATGCCCATTGGAAGTTGGGTTGTTCAAATAAGGAAAGTCCAATCCGGATTTTGGAAGAGTATTTTAGTCTTTCCCTTACCCTATTAATTTAATTCGTTTTTAGGAGGTTATTTGGGGTATAATCAGAATTAGATCAGTTTAGTCAATTGGAATTCATGCTAGGGCTTGGAGAAAAGAGAAAAGAGGAGAAAGGAGAAGAAAACTCAAGATTTGTCGATTTCTTGGAGATTTGCGTGTGGATTTCGTCAAGGGGTGATACCTACGAGGTATGTGAGACTTTCATAATGTTGGGTTTGTTTACCCACGTGCCAAGCATGTTGATTCAGCGTGAATTCATTCTAAAAAGATTGGAAGTTGAATGTTCTTGATAGTTGTTCTTGAATTGCTTTCGTTCTTGAATATGAGTTGAGATTAAGGAGTTTCTTGATATTAAAGTGTTGTTTCCTTGAGTTGATTGAGTTAGATTTTGTGTTTATGCCTTGGGTATCTGATTCTAAAGTGAATTTGAGAAAAGGAGGCGGAATTAATCGATTTAAGATCAGAAAACGAGACCAAAAGTTCATCGGTTTTTGCCTGAAGGGAAGGCTGGCGCGACGCGCCCCCATAGCGCCAAGCAGGCTGAGGCGGTGCGCCAGCAGTGCGCCATTTTGGAGCCCCAGTAAGTTGGGGCTGGCGCGGTGCGCCAAGGATGCGCCTGAATCGTCGTTTTCCACCCATTTTTCGTCGTTTAGCTCGTCTAAGTCCTTCTAAAGTTTACTAACACTTCCTAGTTGATTCCAATACTCTAAGGTACATATAAACATCATGAAATCATCCATAAACATGAGATTATGAACCTTGAATCCATAATTCAATTCAAGGAAAGTTAAGAGTCAAGTTTAGAAGTCAAGAATCAAGTCAAGAGAAGTTCATAAAGTTTTTCAAAAGTCTTTCACAAACGTTTTAACTTTGTTTTAAGACTTAAATTTTATGTTAAGCAAAAAAGTAAAGAGTTGAGTTCATTTCTCCAAACGTTATAAGGGAACTAGTATTCCCAAGAGTTTAAAATGTTTTCACATTTGAACAAGAAAGGGAAACACCAATTTCCAAGAGAGCTTTTAAGCTAAGTTTTGAGTAATTATCTCAAACCAAAGAAAGAAGTTTTGTTTTAAAACATATGAGCTAAGTATATTTTGGGAGTAGTATTGAGCACCAATATGGGCATGCGAGTTCATATTAACTCAAGTATCCATAAACCATGTAGCCATTATAGGTAGTAAAGGATCATACTTTTTAGATGACTTTTTAAGTGTTTTTTAGAATAGACTAGTGGATCCACTTAGTTAAGGCGTTCTATATGACGGCAAAGTATAGGACAGTTCTTGCAGCGTGGGAAAGACGTTGTATCACCACTTAGGCTCATAGTGGTGGTTGTCGGTTAGAGAAACTCTCACATAAACTATATTACTTCATTATACGAGTACAGTTGAGTTTGTTATTGCATTTCTTTAACAAACAAAGTTGCTTTCTACTGTTTTAAAAACTTTTTGTATATTGCATGTGTTTTATTGCTTTATATTGAGTTAAGTTATTCAGGAGTTGAGTAAGGCCAATGTAAGTGTTCCTTTCAGATTCCTTTCAAGCCTATGTTATGTTTAGCATTCCAACTCGCATACTCGTACATTCAATGTACCGATGCCAGTTAGCATGCATCATCTTATGATGCAGACGCAGGTAACCAGAATCAACATCCAGCGCCTCTTTGGATCCAGCGCCTCGTTGATCCAGTTGAGCACTCATAGTCTGTTGGTGAGCCTCTTTGCTTTCCGGAGGGCTCATTTTTACATTACTTTCAAGTTTTCAGTTGTTAGGATGATCGGGGGTCTTGTCTTGACATTCCTCTTTGTTTTAGAGGCTTCATAGACGGATAATATAGTTCTTTAATCTTATTCATTTCAGTTGTATACGTTTAATACTTAAGTTGTCATTTTGGCTAAGTTATTATCTCTTGAGTTATTGCATGAGTTATGTTTCTTATGTTTAAGTCTTTTGTTGAGTAAGTAAGTCAGGCCAAGGGTTCGTTTGGGGCCAACAATGGTAGGCCAAGGGTT